GACTAAACAATCCCAGTTTCTTCAGCCTCTCCTAAGAAGTCATGTGCTCCAGCCCTCTAATCATTTTTGTTGCGCTTTGCTGGACTGTTTCCAATTTTCCACATCCTTCTTGTAGTGTGGGGCCCAAAACTGGCACAGTACTCCAGATGAGGCCTCACCAATGCCAATAGAGAGGAATGATCATGTCCCTTGATCTGCTGGCAATGCTCCTACTTATACAGCCCAAAATGCCATTAGCCTTCTTGGCAACAAGGGCACACTGTTGACTCCTATCCAGCTTCTCATCCACTGTAACCCCTAGTCCTTTTCTGCAGAACTGCTACCTAGCCACTCAGTCCCTAATCTGTAGCAGTGCATGGGATTCTTCCGTCCTAAGTGCAGGACTCTGCACTTGTCCTTGTTGAACCTCAGCAGATTTCTTTTGGCCCAATCCTCTAATTTGTCAAGGTCCCTCTATATCCTATCCCTACCCTCCAGCGCATCTACTACTTCTCCCAGTTTAGTGTCATCTGCAAACTTGCTGAGGGTGCAATCCATGCCATCCTCCAGATCATTAATGAAGATATTGAATAAAACCGGCCCCAGGACCGACCCTTGGGGCACTCCGCTTGATACCAGCTGCCAACTAGACATGGAGCCATTGATCACTACCCGGTGATCTACCCAGCTTTCTATCCACCTTATAGTCCATTCATCCATCCCATACTTCTTTAACTTGCTGGCAAGAATACTGTGGGAGACCATATCAAAAGCTTTGCTAAAGTCAAGGAATAACACGTCCACTGCTTTCCCCTCAACCACAGAGCCAGTTATCTCATCATAGAACGCAATTAGGTTAGTCAGGGATGACTTACCCTTGGTGAATCCATGACGGTTCCTGATCACTTTCCTCTTCTCTAAGTGCTTCAAAATTGATTTCTTGAGGACCTGCTCCATGATTTTTCCAGGGACTGAGGTGAGGCTGACTGTCCTGTAGTTCCCTGGATCCCCCTCCTTCCCTTTTTTTTTTTTAAAGATGGGCACCACATTAGCCTTTTTCCAGTTATCTGGGCCCTCCCCCGATCACTGTGAGTTTTCAAAGATAATGGACAATGATCATCAATGTTTACATTTTCTTCTACCTTAAGTCAACCGAAACTGGTTTATTAGCTATCATTTTTGTAGTATAAATGGAAAATGACATGAACGGGATTAGAGCTTGACATCAAAGGGGCTTCCCTGATATCTTGCTAGTAAACATGGGCTGCAGACACTCTTCTTTATTATTTTTTAATCACTTATTGCTTTTACTATAGTGTAAGAAATGGAGATATACCAGCGTGGTGTTTACCTTGATTTACCTTCAGATATTAAAAACACCGATCTGGAACTGTAATCAAGAAACACCTGGAAGGCATTGGAGACATTTCTCCCCATTTAGCATGTACGGTCTTATCTTTACTTTCTGTTCTTGACACCTAAGCTGAGTTTAGCCATAATGTCTTACTGAATCCAAGGGATCTATAGTCTATAATCTACCTAAAGAGACAAGGTGGGTGAGGTAATATCTTTTTGATTGGACCAACTGCTATTGGTGAAAGAGACACGCTTTTGAGCTATAACAGTGGTTCCCAAACTTTAACAGCCCGTGAACCCCCTTCTCTAAATTGTGAAATCTCATGAACCCCCTCCTAAAAATGAATATTTCCAGGGTTTTAAGTTTAAATTTCCTCACTGTGATGGATGTACTTGCTTTGCTCTGCATAGCTCTTGGAAGTCTGGAACCACTAGAGAAAGATAAAATCTCAGGTCTGGTTCGGCATCAAGTCTGTTTCTGTATTTCATTTTCAGATGTGCATACGAGGAAAACGCTTTCTCGCATAAGTATGTTGTTGAAAATGGTAACAAAACTGCAGCAGCTTTTTCTGCCAGAAGGGGGTACTCGTTTCTTAAACTCAGCCAAAAGTTGATCAATGACAGATTTCTGAAACTCCTTTTCAGTTCGTAATCACAGGAGATCTCAATCAATTTCTTTTTTTCCTCAGTGTTCAATATCTGTGTTGAGAAAGTGGTATCATCAAAAGGGTTGCAAATCCAGTCATCGCCTGACCTAGCTGGACAGTAATCCCTGAAAGTTGTGCAAAGTCCTTTTAGATGTGCAATTATATTTGTTTTAGTGCACTGATCCAACTGAAGTTCTGCCAGGAAGTCATGAAGATTACTGAAACACTCCGTTTGATTGTTTTCCAAACAACTTTCCCAGAACTGCAACTTCTTTATCATGGATTCAGCGCACTCTTGCACATTGAAAACTGTTATACTGAGACCTTGAAGAGAGAAATTTAGGTCATTAATTCTTGAGAAAATATCTGCTAAATAAGCTAGGCTCTGGGGCCAGACATTATTTTCCATACAGCTAGCAAGGTGGAAAGGGTGGCTGTTTGGGGAAAAAAACAACAACTAGGATTTCCATTCTAAGCTCAAACAAGTGCACAAGGATTTTGCCCCGTGAGAGCCATCTAACTTCAGTATGGGTCAACAGACAATTGTGTATACTACCCATTTCTTCACAAAGTACGTGAAATATTCTGGAATTTGTTGGTCGTGATTTTATGAAATTCACCATTTTCACTGCATTGTCCAGCACTTCCTTCAGTCCCTCAGGCATGCATCCTGGGGCCAACACAACTGCAAACTATAATCTCCTTAGTCAACTCCATCTGAACTACCACAGAGAACTAGTGCAGGCCAACTGGGAGGAAAGATAATCCTACTTGTGAGAACTCAGTCTCCACAGCCAAGCTCTGAAATGTCCAAGAGAAGCTACTGGGATTAAACTCTGGAAGAAAAGAGTCTGTTCTCTCTTCCTGTTTTGTTTGCCTCTTTCCTTATTCCAAGGTGTGAAATAATGTTTCAGGTGAAATTAGATATGACCCTCTTACTAAACACTTGCATTGAGACTCTGCTTTGTAGACTTTCACATAAGTTTTCAAGTACATAAAAGGTTGTTACAAGGAAGAGAGGAAAAATTGTTCTTCTTAACCTCTGAGGCTAGAAGCAATTGGCTTAAATTGCAGTAAGGGCGGTTTAGGTTGGACGTTAGGAAAAACTTCCCAACCGTCCGAGTGGTTAAGCACTGGAATAAATTGTCTAGGGAGGTTGTGGAATCTCCATCATTGTGGATTTTTAAGAGCAGGTTGGACAAACGCCTGTCAGGGATGGTCTAGATAATGCTTAGTCCTGTCTTGAGTGCAGGGGACTGGACTAGATGACCTCTCAAGGTCCCTTCCAGTTCTGTGATTCTATGCAAGTCACTGATTAAATATGTTAGCAGTTTGCCGAAAATACTTGTTCGGGGTAGATTGAAAAACATTGAAGGCAGACATTCCGTGAGAGGTCTGCGAGGGACTTTGTTTTCTCTATTAATTTTATGTGAAAAGCATACAGAGCGCATGGTGGTGAGTGGCAGTCTAAAACCCTAAGTTAGATGGGCTAAGAACCAAACATTGAAAACAGACTTATGGACCTATCCCCAAGGTTACATGAAGATGGGATGTAATGGAGCTTTTCCAGGTTAGGGCTAATTAATCACTACTCTACCCTCAAGTATCACTGTCTTCTGTGTTCTGCCTTGAAATCTACTGGGCATAGGTCACTAGCACCACACACTGAATTCATGAACTGTGGGATGAGAGGGGAGAGTTGCTTCTAATCTCTGAGGCAAGATTTCTGTAGATTTAATAGTCCAAGTACTATATCTTCTCTTAGGAGTTAAGTTTGTGTGATAGCCAGGATAACAGCTTGAAAGGAACTGTTAAGTGTTTCAAATCCTCACTTTTCCTATGCTTTGTCTTGCATGAATTTAAACTACAGTTGTGGCTACCTATATTTTAGCTGTAAATAAGTTTCTTGTATATGTACCATTGGGTATGTCTACACTACGAAATTAGGTTGATTTTTATAGAAGTCGATCTTTAGAAATTGATTTTATACAGTCGATTGTGTACGTCCCCACTAAGCGCATTAAGTCAGTGGAGTGCGTCCTCAATACCGTGGCTAGCATAGACTCATGGAGCGGTGCACTGTGGGTAGCTATCCCACAGTTCTTGCAGTCTCCGCTGCCCATTGCCTGATGGGGGAAAAATATTGTCGTGGGTGGTTTGGGGTAAATGTCATCAGTCTCCCCTTCAGTTCTATGGCTTGTTACACAGGAGGGCAGAACAAATGATCACAGTAGTCCCTTCTGGCCTGAGAATATATGAACTTTGTGCAGGGACTGGAGCTGTGTTGTTGTGAAATGTGCTCCAGTCTCATCTGAAATCCCATGGCTCAGGAAAAAATCATGAGTTGGCAATTTGTGGTTTGAAATTGGTCGTTCAGTTCCAGTTTCTTAGGATAGGAGTAAGGGAGAATCCCATGCACTGAGCACTTTACATTTCTTAATAATGAGGCATGATTATGGATCAGATAGCACTACTCCAAAATAACCCAATGCAGCAGTCACATTCATTATTCTTATAAAGACATGTTTATTAACAGAGAATTTACAGCAGAGAAACATACAGACAATAAAAGACATTAAATAAACCATGTAGCCTAGGGAAATGGGTGCATAATTGGGAGTCAGGAGGTTGTGATTAATCTGGATTCTCCCTGGGCCTTGAACAAATGGCTTTATAGAATCATGGAAGTGTAGGACTGGAAGTGACCTCAATAAGTCATCTAGTCCAGTCCCCTGCACCCAAGGCAGGACTAAGTAATGACTAGACCATCCCTGACAGGTGTTTGTCTAACCAGTTCTTAACAACCTCCAATGACTGAGATTCCACAGCCTCCCTAGGCAATTTGTTCCCGTGTTTAACCACCCTGACAGGAAGTTTTTCCTAATGTCCAATGTAAATCTCTCTTGCTCCAATTTAAACCCATTGCTTCTTGTCCTATCCTCAGATTAACAAGAACAATTTTTCACCCTTCTCTTTGTAACAACCTTTTACATACTTGAAAACTCTTATCATGTCCCACCTCAGTCTTCTCCTCTCCAGTCTAAAAAAACCCAATATTTTCAATCTTTCCTTTCAGGTCATGTTTTCTAGACCATTTCTTATTTTTGTTGCTCTCCTCTGGACCTCTTCCAATTTGTCCACTTTTTTTACCTTCATCTTTGTCTATTCCAACATTTGGGGAGAGAGAGGATACTTAACCATGTGCTTCACGTGGCCATTGGGAGAAATAGGTAAGTAATATCTGTACAGTTGCTTTGAGTGAAGCACTATTCTGTGAATTTAAGGTATTGATAATTTTCTTTTATTATTACAGTCTGGCTTTGAGAAGTTAGAAACTGCAACAAAACTTTGTTTCGGGGGAAAAAAATTGATATAACTTACATGAGGCAGGCCATCCACAAGGTGGATCTGTGCTTTCCGAATCTCTTGTGTCATTCAGGATGTGACTTGCTCTCACTGCTCAGCTGAATTGTAGGGCTTCAAGCCTTTTATAAATTCTGAGGGCCTTACTCAGGAAAATCCTCATCTGAGATCAGTGGCCCTCGTGATTTGGCACTTAAAGAATATACCTGCAGTGTTGTTTGTTTTTATTTGATGCATCTTCCTGCCTCACCCATTAGTTTGGCATTTTCCTGTATTGCACCAAACCAAATTTCCCCACACTTCACCTATCTTGGTCGTACTGCATACTGGACAATCTCATTGAATTTAGAGATATGGTGAAACACACGCCCTTAATTTAAATTAACTCTGTATCTAGACACAAGCAAATGCGTGGGATTCTTAAATTTTCTTCCTCTTCTTCCAGCCCAAGTTTGCCATGGATTCCCCATGAAGTTCAAGCAACATCTTTCAAATGCAAGTAATGATGACTTGACTGTTTTTACATTTAACCACCATAGTTGTTCTGGGGAACCTGGCTTCTCCAACCATCATGAGTGAAAGGTCCAGTTTTCAAGAGTGATCTTAAAGGTGGAGGGGAGGAAACAGCCTTACAGATACAAAACTAAGAAGGAATGTTATAGGGGTGTAGAGTCAGTAATTCTTCTACCATCATAGGATGGGGTATACCTAGGTAGGAGGCTGCAGGTATCTACCCTGAATGAAGGTATGAGCAAAACCCTCATCCCACTTGGAGTAGCAAAGCTGAATTGCCGAATGGAAAGCAGCCCATTTACAACTTTTTCAAAAGCCTGAGTAAGAGAGGGAAAAAGAACAGTGGTATTTTTGGCATAACAATAGATTGAGATTGTTATGCTGTTGTGTAAATAAATCAGAATCCAATCAAACCAGATTCTTTCCTTTTTTGGCAAAATGTCAGTATGATGGGCCAGTTCCTCAGAAGGGTATAAGTTAGTTTAGATCAGTTCAGATCAGCGGCACAATATTGATTTACACCAGCTGAAGATCTGGTGTTCAATCATATCAGGCAATTCTTTCGGTTGGAGTAAGTTTGTGATTTAGCAGGGGCGTACATGAAGGACTAAGTGCTGCTCCCCTTACTGCAATCTCTCATTGACTTCAGTGAGAGTTTTGCAAGCAGAGGCATTTTTGATAAGTCATTAAAGTTACAGATGTTTGCATAGCTGGTTATAATCTGGTTTCTGATTCTTGTTCCTTAATGTTCTGAGATCCGTTGGAGAAGTTCTGTGTTTCCTTTTTGCATTGGATTGAGACAATTGTGTAAATGCTTCTGATCAAGAAAATCCCAGCTATGACTGCAAAGTAACTGCCATAAATTAGGAACTGAAAAAAAATGAATGCAGAAGAATTGGTGAAACACACATACTGTATTGGAGAAATACCCACTTCTTTCTGAACTATTAAGTATATAGATTCTACCAATTCATTCATCCATGTCATAGCTAAATTTCTGCAAGCACAAACTTCATTTGGATGGCTTGCCAGATACCAGAGGATCGTTGGGTGATGCAGAGGTGTCATACTGGCTCCTACACCAACCCCCTGCTCCTCCTGGCCACTATCATAAGAGTGTGGTCAGGGAAAGAGGCATGGCCAAATATTTCCTTAATCTCTGGCGATGACCAGCTACTGGAATGGCTCCTTGGGGGTATAGGCAGCCAAGGGAAAGCAGCCTTCAGAGAGCCACTAGTTTATGCTGGAGACTCGACTAGTATCAATATGGTCCAGGATTGGGAGAAAACAAGATCTGTTTGTTTGCATGATATCAATGATATTCTATCCTATTATAGTATAAGGATTGTTGTATATGGTATCTTGGAAATGATACAGTTCTACCTTGTTCATACAAACCTCAGTTGCTGAAACTGTTGTTTGAAACATATCATACACATTAAACATTTATAAATTACACTATAACTGTGATTATCCAAAAGTAATTGCTTCCTCATTCCTCCATGATATCCAGACAATCAAAGATGTATTGTAGATGTATCTTCATTTCAGGATCTCAAGTTGTACGGAGTCTTATAGCACTTATTACATTGAACGTAGTGTAGGTCAAAATTTAACACATCAGGAAGCAATTTATTTTTGCCTTTCACAGTGAATGGAGAGGGAGGAGTGCTTTTAATACTATGAAAAATGTAAAGCTCTGAGAACTTATTAAAAGCTCTAAAGTAATGCATCATAAGCCTGCTCTTATGCCTCTATATTGTAGAGGTTTTTCATTCAATGGCTGTGAAAAGAAACTCTCAAGGGGTCTTTAGCATTTTGGACAATATTTTGTTCCATAATGCCCTGTTTGAGTCCCCCACCTGTTTATTATATTCCTTCCTCTATCAGTTTTGTCAGGCACCAATGTAGCTTCACTGCTAAAACCACCTGGCAGGTAAATAGTATAACCGAGTTACTGTGCAGAAGTAACCCTGAGAGGAAGATCAGGAGAGGGGTGCTCCATGCTGGGGGAAAGCAAAAGGGGTGGTGCTGGGGGAATCAGCAGCGTGCTTGTCATCTTTCCAGGAACTCTTCCTGCTTGTGCTAACCAACCAAGAGACCTCAAGGCCATATAACAACATGTCTGAACTCAGAAGTCACACCCCTCCTGAATGGTATCTGAATACCTTTTTGGTATTCTTGGAGCCCAGAGGGCCAGCAAAAGGAATTGCTGTCTGAGATGTCATTGAAGGAACTCTCTGCATTCACTTGGGAACATGGTAAAGATTGGAACTAACAGAGTAGATGTTTGTTTTCTTTTCCATATTCAAAAGCAAGCGCTCCATGGACTTGTGTTACTGAAGCATCTGATGACTTTAGGTACCAATATGGGGAGCACTTGTTCGCTTAAGCCTTTTCCATTATATTTGTCAATTTGTATCATATCTACAGTTGGCATCATGAAAGCATTAGTCTAGTTCCAGAGTAGCATTTCTTACCTTGTTAAACCTGCTGCCTCTAGGGTCAAATGCTCAATTGGTATAATTGTCAGAGCTTCATTGACTTCAGTGGAGAGCTGACAATTTACATCAGCTGAGGATTAAGTCTATTGACGATATATAAAACCAAGTTTCTGGTCACTTGTGGTCATTTAAGATCCATGGCACTCTTTGTAAGAGCCTGGGTACCAACTCAAATAGCTTTATACTCTACATACCTAAGTATTCTGTGCTGTTGGATGTATTCCTACTCTGTGTGATGTGGCTGTGAGCCGCAAGGGTATAGCAATTATCAGACCGGTTCCTCCATCAAACAGAGATTCAAAGTGGGGCTCCCCTTTCCATGTCTTGCCCCCTTTGTCAGCCACTCAAAATGTGCATGTTAGCCAGTTCTACCCTTTCTTTACTTTCCTACTTTGGTATCCTGATGATTCTGTCCCTCTTCTCACCACCTCCTTCTCCTGCCAAGTTACCGAAGGCTCCTTTCAACTTCTCTTCAGTAACTAGAAAGTATCATGTGATTTCAAAGAGGTAAAAATAATTTACCAAGGTTTTGACTAGATCCTGCTGTTCTTGAACTCAGAGGCAAAATTTCAGTTGACATTAGTAGAAGCAGGATTGGTTAATGAGCACAGTGAACACCCTATGTGATAAGTAGGTATTACTACTCGAGTTTACAAATGTGGATACTCGAGGCAGGAAGGTAGAATTATCTGACTTAAGTTATATAGCAGGTCTGTGTCAGAGGTGGAATTAGACTGCAGGAGCCTCATGCGCTTAGTTCTGTGCTTGGTCCAGGCTACCTCTTATGCTGTTGAACTGCCATGACACCCTGTGGCTAGAGATTATGTAGATTTCTCAGCAGGGTGGGGGCTACTTTAGTTGTATTCACTGAGAGGAAGTTGGCAGCAGCCCAACAGTATTACCTGCCCATTCATGAATTGGTCTGGGGTCCCTGCCAAAAATCAAAGGATCAGTTTAACAGGATCTTTAGTGTGGATCTGAGCCACTAAGGGTGAGGGGAAGGGACCATGACTAACCTATGAGTTTTATGTAAAAACCCAGTGGCATACTTTCAAACCTGGTGACCAAGTTACATCTTCAGTGCTGTCTACACAAGGGAAAGGACAAAAGAAGAGTGGATTATGATTGCTTAAACTGGAAATTGTGATGTCAAAGGATTCCTTTTACAGGTTTAAGATGCATGCAACACTAACTGAATTAGCCAAACAGTAAATGTAAAGTGAATAATACTATTTACCTGGGTGACTATCTTCAATCCCAGACCTCTTGAATCAACTACGACTACAGTTATAATAGTCTGAATCACCAGTGCAACAAAGTTGTTGAATCCAAACATTAAAGCGTAGCGTTCCATGGTTAGATTGACAGCGATCTGAAACCTAAAATTAAATGGTTGGTTAGTTAAATTGCAGAGAACATGAATGTATTCCCTATCCTTTTCCTTGGAAAAGAGCGATGATTCACATATAGTACGGTATGTCTAGGCTAGGATAAAAGGTGTCATTTTACAATGTGTTACTATCATATTTTAACACCCTAGTGTAGACAAGGCAAGGTGTATTTGAACATGTTAGCTATCTATCTCTGTCCTTACATGCCCCCTTCCCCCTATATTACCATAGTCTCTGAGGAGAGGTTTCACCTTCTGTCCTCCTAGGATCAGGGTATCGCCTATAATCCCCATTTTGTAAATGGAGAACTGAGGCACAGAGGAAATAAGTGATTTGTTCAGAGTTACACAGGACGGCTGTGAGTGAGCAGGGAATTAAACCTGGGTCTCCCAGTTACCAGGCTAGCACCAAACTTCTGGATTATTCTTCCATTCTTGGTTCAGATGAGCCCTATGGGATCTAATAGAACCTCTTAAGAACAGAGTTTCTCTGGTCAGTTGGTTTGTAAGGTCTGTGGTTTGAGAGTGACTTTGAGAGTGACATTGATTACTTCTTATCTGTGCTGAATTCCTGTAAGTTTTTTTTATCTCCCTTCAACTTTTTTTTGGGGGGTGGGAGCATTTATTTTAAACCTTTCTTTGTAAAATTGTATCTTTTGGGTCTTCTACTCAGAAAGTTTTCTTGTAATTCTTGTAATACATTGTACAGTATGTCGATTCTTTTTTATTGGACATAAGATATTTATTAGGCTCCTGAAGTTCTTGTGGTTTTCCATTTTTTGGTAGAGCTGGTTGAACTTGATGGCAAACCATCTGTCAGATTTGGCCTATTTTCCTGTTTGTGAACTGTCCATGTACCAGTCAAGATATTTTTTGTGTGTAGCCATGTTGGTCCCAGATATGAGAGGCACAAGGTACGTGACATGTCTGTTATTGGACCAACTTCTGTTGAAGAATTTGTTCATTGTTTACTATTGCTGAACATATAATATTTAAAACTGTTGCCTTCTGTAAGTCTGTACAGCATATAGCAAATTGGGGAGCAGGCTTTGGCACTACCTCAGTGTAAATGTGTTTAGTAATATTTGGGCCCTTGGGTGTTTTGGAAACCATTTATGGCGAGTACTCAATATGCAGCACTGAGATGTGGGCTGTGAGATTGGTCAGTTAAGTCATGCGATGGGTGAGCTAACATTTATAAAAACAGGAGCATTGCCTGAAGAAATCATTGGGATGTTGAATCTCTCTTTGAGGGGAGCATTGTGTGGTCTAGGAAATCTTAGGACACCTGTTTCCTGTCTATTTTGTGCAAAGAATGAGCATTAGGTTTGGCCATATTCATAGACTCCAGATTTAAAAACAGCTGGATTCCTTCTTGACTGAGGAAGAGAAAGAAATAGGCTGGATTTATTTGCTGTTCAACAGATTTTACATTTTTTTCCTGTCACATACACACACTAGCCTACCTAAACCAGGGCTTAAATTCTCAGTCTTTCCTGGTGCCCCCCACCATGTAACCCTCCCCCTCCCCCAACATGCTATGAAAACTCCAGGGGGGTTGAAAATATGTACCAGAGCTCTGCTCCAGACAGCTCTGGGTGAATTTAAGACCTGACCTAATCTATTTAGCTGGATTAATAATCAAAGGTGGCTCAGAAAGCACTTTCAATACAAATTGACTTGTGTGCACATGGATGCACCCATTCATGTTTCAACAGCTGTATTTGCATGAAAAAAATCCTCCCCAAATATTTGTATGAACAAAATTCTATTGCGCCATATTCACAAAAAAGCAATCTCAACAGAAGGCTGGATTGAATAGTGAGTCAGATGTGTCATACTTCATGAGAGAGTGTGTGTGTGTGTGTGTGTGTGTGTGTGTGTGTGTGTGTGTGTGTGTGTGAGAGAGAGAGAGAGAGAGAGAGAGAGTGGGTGTAGTAAAGTTCGGTTTA